TCCCGCCGCTATCCCCCCCCTCCCGCCGCTATCCCCCCCCTCCCGCCGCTATCCCCCTCCTCCTCCAAGTAATCAGGATTACTTTCGATTATCCCATCATGTTATCCTGGCAATAACGTTCCCCAAAAACAATTTTCCAACCTTCTCTGTCCCAAGGCAAAGTAGCCCAATGCCTATATCCATGCATAGGGGGTTAATTTATTATGATAATAATGAAAGAGGACAAAATCACAAAGGATCCCAATTAGGTGTTGCAGGCTCAAACCTCTGCAAGCGAATTGATTTGAAGCTAAAATCTGTTATGAAGTCTGATAGGTTTCTCTTAAGACCTTACTCCCAGGTAAAACTTTTAAATCAGGATAAACCTTTAGGCTATTACTCAAGGTCACAGGCCTGTGCTTTAGCGTTGTTTGTACTCCTAGTTGGAATTGTTAATTCATACAAATCTGCAGATACAAATGATGGGGGCTGCGCCACCCTAAGTGATTCTGCAAACGTTAATAAATAATAGACTCTTTTCTTGCACTGAATTATTGCATTTAAACAAATTAAATTCTACTGGAGCTGTAGTAATTGCAGCTCAAAAAATTCATTACTTGCCCCTTGGTTCTTTGGAGGAAGAGTATATTGTAGCTAAGATTGCTATTAAATCTACTGCTCTTACTAAAATTTGAGGAAAAGAACTAAACATAAGAACAACACAGTTCTTGGCCCCAGGCAGATCGTACTGCTGTAACAGTACGAATTCAATATCCAGGAAAAAACAATTTTGCAGTGAATTAAATTAAAAAATAATATAAATGTATATTTGGGAGAATCTTTTGACATTAAATATTGCAAAGCAAAACAATCCATATTAATTTGCATGACTAGCTTACCCTTGTAAACTACCCAGACTGCATTTTTAATCAAGTACAAGAAAGAAAATAAACCCAAAATACCCAGCTGTTTCTGTCACTCCTAGCTATGTTCTCCTTTTAAAAAGCACAACTGATGTGCAAAATCTAAATGTCTATGTGCTTAGGCAATGAGAAAACATTTTACTCAAAATTATTTCTGTTGATTACAACACATAAATATTATTTCAGATGTCTACTTCCAGTCACCATATTTTCATAGTTTATGCATGAAATAAATCAATACAGATCTGGACATGAATGTAAAATGATTCACTCTAGGAATTTTGGTTGTGACTTATTTTAGTTAAAATAAAATATATTATTGCCAGTGTATACAATTTAAATCATTGACTGGATCCTCTAATCTATAATGTATGAACATGATATATGGTATTTTTGGTGAAAATCATGTGTTCATATAATGAGTTAATTAAGTTATATATCATTACTCATGCTTTTTATAATTAAAAATCAGAACTAATGTATTTTCTAAATTTCAGTGTTTATCCTCTAAGCGTGATAACCCGTTAGATTTTAAATTGCTCTAAGTTGCATAGAAATATTGGAAAATGCTTGACTAAAGCCTATAAGATGGAAGATTTGTTTTTATTCAAGGATTGCTTTTTTCTAATACATTTTCTTCTTCTTACTCCCTGGAGTAACACTCTTTCTTGCAAATATATAGAGAAGCTGGCAAGTATACTGCACAGCAGTATATGTAATGCTGAAATATTAATGCAGGATACAGAAGCTTCTTGCAAGCTACATGTGGTGTGATGTATTAACAAAAAGCAATGCATATTTATGTGGTGTGAATTGTTGTGCATTACAGAATGTGAATAGCTTTTTATTATGCAACTGTAAGTAACAATAATGGGAGGTAGTTTGGTGTAGTGGTTAAAGTACTAGGCTAGACATTGGGAGATTTTAGGTACAAAGCCAACTGAGTGTTTTGGGCTAGTCGCACACTCTCAGTCACAAGAAGCAGGCAATGGCAAACCACTTCCAAAATCTTGCCAGGAAAACTTCAGGGACTTGTTCAGACAATTACCAGGAGTCCATACTGACTTGAAGGCAGACACACACACACACACACACACACACACACACACACACACACATCAACAAGTAACAATAACTGTATCAATATGTTTTAATAACTCCATTATGGGAAGGGAACTCAGAGATGTTTTCAAAGTAAGACTGTAGCAGAAGTCAGAATTGATGTACAGGCGGGAGATGGGGTTTCAAATCACCTACAATCAATCAGAGGACAGTCATAACAGAGTCAATCAGTTTACTACATTTTCAAGTAAGTAAAATAACACACTTACCATTTAAGAAGGTTCTTCTCCTCAGAAAATGAATAAGTTGAGTCTAAAATTACCTCATTCCACCACTGGGACCACAACCATTAATGGAGAGAAAGTTCTGCAAATGCCCCATTTAGCTAATCCAATTCCTTTTTGATGGATTTTTTAAAAATGTACAGTGCCCATTATTATACCCTTTATTTTTTTCTTAAATAATAGACATAGTAACAATTTTGAAATACTGAATTAAAGTAAGATATCATTGAAGAATGGCCAATTTAAAAATAAAAACATTTTAAAGAATGTGATTTTGTGATCTCTGGAAAGTTGAACCACTAGGGTGTATGCTATTAGATGTACACATTTGTGAAACATTTGTGATTTGCAAACATTTGTGATTTGCAACTTAGATACGTATTAAAAATTTGTTAACTTGTGAAATGTGTATAATTTTTACAACAGTATTTTTATATGTTATCATATTCATCTTGAACTGTACTGGACAAGCTTAATAAAGATGTACTTATGTAAGTAATACAAGTGAAAAATACAGTATGAAATGATGATATCAGCATATAGTGTATTTTTAAACATTGCCTGGGTAATATACTATAATTCTTGTTGACATTAAAATGAAATTAATATTATGGCTTACAACAGATACTTATTAATAAAATACTGTTTCAAGGAATTGTCAATCTTAATTTAAATTGAGAAAGGATTTTCAACACTGAGCTCAAAATAAAAGCCAAATTTCTTTCCTGATAACTGCATTTTGGGCAGACTCTTTCAAATGTGGGTATTGTTAATTAAAACAGTGAAAGTTAGTTAGATCTAATGATTAAGGTGTTGGATCACAAGGGGGGGGGGGGATACCTAAGTTATAGTCCTGCTTTAGGCCCAAAATAATTGAGTCAGTCACTTTCTTTTAACCACAGGAAAAAGGCATGGATAAAACACTTAAAAAAAAAATCCTGCCTAGAAAACTACATGGATTTGTCCATGAAGTTCCAGAAGTCAATACTTATTTGAATGGGGGTGGGGGAAAGGAACATATTAAAGCATAAACGATTTTTTTAAAAAACATAAAAATTAAGCAACAGGGGAAAGAGCATTATTGGATTTGTAGCTGCAGCACTGAAAATAAACTGATTACTTTCAAATAAAAATATTCACTTGCGTTATAGGTCATTTTTTCCGTTTGACACACCCCCACTCAAAAATATTGGGCTAGAGCTGGTAATAACCTTTTGAACATGAGCTGGGGGCAAATATATATTCTTATGCATTGACAATAGTATAAAATAATGCAGAGGTAATTTATACAGAAACATATTAAAATTTAGAAGTATGCAGAGATTTTCACAGGAATTTTTTTTAATTTTTGTTCTGTTTTGAAATCTTTGCCCATTTAGGCTTGGGAGATTAGCTTCCAGAATAGCCAATAAAAATAACAAACTAACTTTTATGCAACACTTGCCCGGTGACTGCTGATCAGGGTTGCATGGAGAAGCACATGTACTCCCTGAGAATTCTCACCAATTTTTACAAGCTTAAACTGCCAGTAATGGCTTGTGGGGTTGCAGCCATAAATTGTGCTGGCCTGGCCTTGAGACAGCACTAAAAGTAGCAGGAAGAGGGAGGTCCCACAATCTCTTAAGGCGAAGTCAGACAGAATTTTAACCCCCCACCCACCCCTAGTCACTTGTAGACCACAAAGAGAATCACAACACTGGGCAGGGGGATGGTGTTTATAGTGGCTGCTCCTCAAATTCTATCCCACCCCCCTTTTTTTTCTTTTCATAAGAAAGATTGTCATAAGAAAGATCCAAGCTGTCTTTAAAAAACAATTGAAGGTGCTCTTCTCTCCCCCCCCCCACACCTTTTGGACACTCTTAAAATCAGTCTGGGAAATAAAGGGAAGGGGCGGAAAACTCATCATATAGGGGAAGGGGAAAACATTTTGCAATCACAAAATCAGAGAATTCTCTAGGGGGTCTAAAGGACAAGATTATTACCTTCAGGCTATCATGCAGAATAGGGAGTTGGAAGGACAGTTTTCACAGTTTGGCTGGTTGTTTTTTTTAAATTCTTCATCTGAGCTACCTCCTTCATGAAGCTCTGACCATGTCAGGAAATTTTGGTGGCAGGTGATGTTGGGAGTTGTACTCAAAAAAGGCACTAAGTTGGGAAAGGTTGTTCTGGGCAATATTGCAGCCCAGTAGTTTTTACAAATTCTCCGACATCAGTTAGATGATGTATGCCCAGTAATGCTTAAAAACCCAGCAGATCTTGCTAGGCAGGAGATCTCCCAAACTCCCTTTACTCTTCTTTCCTGAGAGAGTCCCCTTGGTGCAAAGAATACCCCATCCTGCATGCTTCTGTCTTAAATTTAGGCTAGCCTCTGCTAGCAGGTTAATAATATTGAGGCACTCAACCAAGAATTTTCTTAATTGTTGAAAAGGGTTTGAAGTCACTCTGTCATATCCATGTTTTGGAAAACAAAATGAGTCTTATTTTCAGGACAGCTGGTTCTTCAAATATTGATGAAGAATCAAGAGAAGACCAAAGGCACCCAAAGAGACTGCAAGGAATTAAAAATATAAAATTCCAAAATGTCACTTCTGCCTATAGTTTGCAGTTTTTCTCTACAGAAAATTTATTAGGGCAAAGCCTACTAAATAAATATCAAGTTGAAGTACACCTGTCTTCAATTAAATTCTGTAGTGGAAACTTGTGTTCATGCTAAGAGGGAAGGCACCCTTTACTATCTCATGGAGGCACTGGATTCAATCCTGGACAAATTACATCCTGACTGCTTGTTACCAGCAATTGTTTCTCTTCCCTAGTTACCCAATCTGTGGGAAATTGTCATGCAAATATGTTACCTAGCTGAATTACTTTTCCCACATTTTTGCAAGACTACTTCTCAGGACAAAAAACAAACCCCTAGCTGAAAACTGGGTCTTCCAAGCAGAATCGACCCAAAACACTTTCCTGATGCTCCAGGACTGGTTCTTCAGCTCCTTCCCATCAGCCCCCGCCCCCAAGAGCTGCGAGAGTGGCAGTGTGTTCTTTGCTCTCCAGGCACCAAGCTTTACCTGTAAAGGCAGTTTTCCAAAAGGGCCCTGGAGGGTTGAGCTCCTTGGGGCAACACACTTGGTTGTTCCAGCCCCCAGCCAAGGCCCAGGAGTCGTGGTAAGGATCGACGGGCAGGAGAGTTTCGTGCCTGGGGTCTCCCGGAGGTCCTCCGAGGGTCTGAACCACAGAAACGTCCAAGTAGCTGGTCATGGACTGGTAAGGTCCAGCGTAGCCCGGGTAGAAAGCGAACTCAGCCGGGCGGGTGGTATAATCCTCTTGGGAGGGGGGCGCACCGGCTGTAGGCCCACAAACCTCCAAGTACTTCTCGGCGGTGTAGGCGGCTTGGGGCGGCGCCGGACACGGCTTAAGGGAGCTGCGGGCCACTCGGTACGAATAGCAGCCGCCGCCTAAACAGCCGTAAGGGAAAGGCGAAGTGCTGCTGGCTGAAGGCGTCTGTGAGACGGCCGGACATGGGATGCACTGTTTGGCCAAAGAAGGCTCCCCGGAGCCGAAGGGAGGCAGGGGCCCATCCAGGGGCGCGTAAGTGGAGGGGCCGTGCGCTGAGGGGCTGGACGCGCCGCCCGCCCCGGCGAGAGCCGCGTTCCTGCAGGGGCCGCCGGCCGGGAAAGGAGGCAAGCTCAGCAACCCATCCAGGTTTTTGCCTGGTGCCTCGTCCAGGCTCCTCCGGGCTCCTCCGAAGGCTGCCTCGGGCTCCATCCGTAAAGGGTGGCCGAAGGGCACATGGGCGGCTGCTGCTCGCCTCGCTCTGCCCGGGGAATGGAAACGAGCAGGGCGCGAGGACTGGGAGGCGGGCAAGGCCGGAAGGACCGCTTTAAAAGGCTGGCTGCAACCGAAGGAGGGTCGCCTGGGAGCCCGACCGCAGCGCTTCTGCCCTCTCCCGCTCCCACCTGAAGCGACGGACGTGGCTTCCCAGAACGGGCCGCTCATTGGCTGAGGCGCTTTGGCAGAAGACGTGCGGGGGGAGGGGGCAACAATTGCGAAAATGCTGTAGTGGCAAGGGGGGAGTGGAGTGGGAGGGGAAGAGCCCTCACGTGATCGTCTTCTCTTTGGGAAAGGGGCGGCCTGCGGTGGTGGCGGCGGCGCCTTCCCTTGTGGGAATGGGGAGAATATTAAGTTCCCTCCCCCTCCAGAGAATGGGTACCATTCAAGAGGCAGAAGGAAAAACGATGGCGAACCCCAAAGGTCCCCGTCCAGCAAAGAAAGAATTGGGCATTCACTTTATCTCTGTGCGAGGCGTTTTCAGTGTCTCCATTACAGCGTTCTGTCTTCCATCTCAATTGTTAATTCTTTGGCCAAGTAGCTCAACAGTTCCCTGGTACTTTTGGGTACTGGCGCCCCTGGGAATGTATCCTTCCCGGTAACAACTTTTCAAGAGATTGAAGGATAGACAGAAAGACAAATCGATCGATAGTTGATAGATCGTTTTCTTTTTTGTTCTGAATCGGGGAGGATCCTGAGGAGTCAGACTTTCGCTTTGGCCACCAAGGAATGGGAAGGAGATAGGCTCCTGAGTCCCACCTCGAAGAGAACCCAACCATTTGACACCTTTACAACTTGTTTGGGAAGTAGGGACTGATGAACGAACAGGGGGGCGGGAAGACGAATACCTGGTTGCGCTGAAATGAAAGGCGGGCGGTTCTTGGGCAACCGATTGGCGGGGAGGTGTTGGTATAGGGCTAGAAATGATATTTATTTAGCAGCTGAGACTTCTACGACTTTAAATAATGCCTTCAAGTCGAAGGTCTTCGTCAGATTTGTCAATTTATTGAAATATCTCAGACTATCTTTGCAGAGTAATTAGTTGAAACAAGGAGATACCTTTGGGTAGTAAAAAGGAAGGGGGGAGAGCAAAGTGAGGCCAAACAGAGTATTCTTCGTTCATATCACTCTGCTCCTCACACCTTGCAAATTCAGCTGGATTTCTAAAACTGCCTCTCCCTTTCTTATATTTCTTAGCCCAGTAAAGTATCCGTCTGCATGGAGGACAGTTGGTCTTATTGATTTCTATTAACCTCTCAATAAACTAAAAGCCTCAGGGAATCAGAGGAGATCAGAGATCTCCTTATGTATCTACACTGCTGTTGCCTCTTTTGGCTGCAGCTAATCACAAATATCCTTTCAGTAACAGATTTATTTCCCCTTTACCCTCTTTATACATCACTAAGAAAACAATAAAATATAAATGACTTTTGACCAGTCATCTCTTCTCATTGCAACCATAGGTTTGAGTCTCTGGAGGTAGCACAGGGCAACTTTTTGAATTCCTGGAAGAAAGGCTGGATAGAAATCTAATAAAATAAATACCTTTGAAAAACCCAGTTCCATCCCTCCCCACAACTAAAATTTCCTTCATGACTTTATCTGTCCCTTTCCTTTTTACTATCCAAAGGTGGTCCTTGTTTCAGCTAATTACTCTGCCATATTCCAGCATGAATAAGCTTTCTAATAAATGGCACAAGAAGTCAAAGAGGTGGGCAGGTGGGCCAAATCCAGGTAGTGATGGTGGGAACTCAAATCCAAAAGTATTCTCTATGAGAAGATGGAGGAGGTGCTGAATAAATTAGGAGTTATTCAATTTTTATACAATATTGCTAGTATACAGAGAAGATTGTGGGCAGGAGATACATGCACACACACACACACACACGCACACACACACACACACACACACACAGAGAGAGAGAGAGAGAGAGAGAGAGAGAGAGAGAGAAGGGAGAGGGAGAGAGTAAATTAACCAAAACAGATAGATGCAAAAAGAGGAAGGTCATACTCAACTATAACTCTTAACTTTCTCCTTGTACTTTCACTCTTGCCTGGTACTTTGCATGCTATTTACTTGCAAGCTTCTCTGTGGAAAGCTCCAGATGTAAATGAAGGGATTCAGCTGGCAGGGAATGATTTATTTATTTGTTTATTACAAAATTTATGTCCTCTGCCTCCAAATCCACAAGATTTGTGATGATTCACAAATAGATCGAACATAATTCCCAACAATTCATTTAAACCCACAACAGCTAAATCAACTGAAAGGTAAACGTAAGGCAAAAAAAAAGTCATTGAAATTAAAACTAAAAATTACTTTAAAGTGATAGCAGTCCCCCAAATTCCAAATGCTTACTTGTGAAGTAAAGCCTTTTCTGCCTTTAAATTGCTTTGATGATGAAACAGCAAATAGATGCTGGCTTTTAGGTTTCTGATTTTAAAATTAATTTGGCATACAGAAGAGACAACATCCAACAGTGGCTATTGCCTGCTGCACTCTTCTGTTTTGAAAACTGGAGGTGGATGGTGAGAAAGAAGAGGAGGAAGAGAAATTCATTTCAACCAACGCTTTAGGCTAGTAGTAGATTGAAGTGCATAGCTACCCAGAAGTAAGGCTCATTAACGTCCATGGTGTGCTGTGAGAAATATTTACTTGCTTGCCTTTATATTGTTTTTATTTTCCAAAGAGTCACATGACCAATTTTTGAAATGGATGCCAATAGGTTATACTTACAAGCATGTATGCTTAGGATGGCTGCAGAGGATTTGATCCTGAACTATATTTCATCCTCTTCTTAGACAGATGGGCTAAGGGTGAATAAGATGCTTAACCAGATTGTTAAAAGTCATGGTCTGCATTTTTATAGTATTGTATGTTTTGTATGTTTAGTTTTTCCTTTCCTTTCCTTTCCTTTCCTTTCCTTTCCTTTCCTTTCCTTTCCTTTCCTTTCCTTTCCTTTCCTTTCCTTTCCTTTCCTTCCCTTCCTTTCCTCCCCTCTCCTCCCCTCCCCCATATGTCCTGATGTTTTTACTTATGATCCAGTGTCTTCTGTGAACCCAGAAAACGATTAATTTCATAACCAGGAGTGTCTTTTATGAAGCCAGCTTCAGAGACAGTAAACAGCAAAGAATATGCATCTTTTTTTCCAGTTAGCTGAATGACATTATTTGTGTTTCTTATTTGAATATATACATACTATAAGTCATTAGGATAGCTTTTCTGATTTCAAACAGAATACAAATTTTACTCAGGGAGAATGATTATTTGTTTACATTCATAGACAGTGTAAAATGTAGGGTAGTATAAGTACGTTGTGCTGCAATGTGACTGAAGAAAGCAATGCATAAGATGTAACTATTTAACTTCATGTTGTAAGGAATCAGTGCCAAAAGATTACATTCCCCAGACATGTGTTCTGTTGCAAAATGTACAGAAGACAATGTGCTTGTTTTCCTTAGCTTGATGTCCTCTATTAATCAGTTAGTATTGGCTTGAATTGTTCCTTAATGTTTCTGGAAGATGTCAGCTGAGGAAAGCTGTCCATGACCCACTGGAGTAATTCCCCAGCCCATGCCTTCCAGATGTGTTGGATTGCAACCATTCTGCATTCCTGGACAGCATTGCTCTTCTTTCTGGAAATTACTGCAATGGGCACAAAGCTGCAAGGGACTTTCCAGGTTCCACATGGAAGTATCAGAGTTCTTCCCATGCAAAATGGGTGTATCAAACAATTAAGCAAAATAAATGCAACACATTTGTATAACTGGAAGTTGATAATATTGTAATTTATACTGTTGTAATAGAAAAAATAAGCATGCATTTAAAAAAATCAAACACATGCACATTTTAAGTAGAATGTCTTTAGACTTAGATTTCTTTTTCTGCAGTCAAGGAAGATAAAACATTAGTCTTGTCAGTATAAAAGCATTACTAAGATAGTAATCTCAGAGGTTCATTACCTCTGAGTAATAAGCTAATCAACAATGTATCTTTTTGAAATCTGAAACTTTTGGTTTTCAGATGTTATTTTGACATCTTTATATCTTTGTATCAATATTCTTTCCTTACAATATTCTTCCTCCCTTTAAATCCAAGTAAATTCAATGCTTGAGCTTATTTGGATGTAAAGTCAATAGAAATTAAAGCTTTTCCTCTTGTCATCTATCTGTCTCTCCCACTTCCTTCTTCCTTTTTCTCTCACTCATCTTTTTTTTTGGTCAAGATCTTAAATAATTCCTTTCCAAGCCATGAGTAGCTGACCAAGGTAACACTATGGACTATGCAGCTAATCAACTTTGGAACTGTCAGAGAATAAAATATTTAAAAGAAGGAGGAGGGAGGAGGGGAGAGACGGGGGAGGGGGGAGGAGGAACTGTTTGAGGTTTATTTTCTTCCTGGAAAGGAGGTGGTAGAAATCTTATATCAGACAGCTGATGGGAAAGGGATCAAGTCCCATCTCCGGAATCTGATAAATCTATTTGAGCAATACCTGTAGCTATGAGATAATACATTGGCTAGTCTCTGAAGTGTTACAATTCCTTGTGGTTTTTTTTCTTAAAGGACATGAGTTGTACAGAACACCAAAGACCCTCTCCAGCTATTTGGACATACAAAGTTAAAGGACTCCCACCCTTAAAAGGGTGTACATAAAATCCCATTGCAATAAGCTTGCATTACAATCCTATGAGAATCTACCCACCTGTAGAGATTGATTGTAGAGATTGATTGATTGATTGATTGATATACATTTCAACTATTGAATTTGCCTGAATTAAACAGTGCTGCTGAATTCATAACAAAAGCCTGCTTTTATCAGTTCTTTCACACAACCAAAATATAATCAAAATGAAGCTTCAGAATAGTTGTGGGTGGTCAATGCAATCCAGTCCTGCACCATAAACAGAGCTGTATTACAATATGGGAGCTTATATAA